TGCATACGAGTGAGTAGTTCACTTAATGTTTTAGAATTACGAGTCCACATTGTATGGTTTCGAGAAAGAATGTTACAATTTACGTGGAAGCATTGTCTAGTGTCTGGTCGTCAGCAAATCTGTTAATGAATTTAAATTCATACTTTGGGTAACAACTGGCGCTACGAGACTCAAAAAAATAATTGGGTCACGTGACTCACTTAGCTTTGCCCTTCCCTTTCCCTACATGATCACCTTATCCTGTCGTTACAATTCAAACTGTCTTATTTCTTCTCCGTTTTTATTTGACCCACAAATTGGATTTCCTAAAGCTGTTTTAGTCAGGAATTTATGCTTTCATCTTATTGTGAATGCAATCTATCGGTCCGTTGACAAATGACCGAAAACAGCTGTTTGCCAAAACGATTTTTCAAACATAAAATGGAAATTTTCGCAGAACTAAGAAAGTGGTAAATTACACAATTGAATAAAGGTTTGCAAAATATTATACGAAATTATTTTCTGACTATTTGGTTACTTTTAAATGTAAATCGTTCTATGCCACGTTCTAATCTAACGAAAATTGATCATTTAAAACCCCACTGCTAATTGTATGTGAGAATACTAAACCACTTATAATCTGAACTACTAGACAAGGTGATTAAATAACCTTTCTTGAATATTTACTTAATAAGAAATGATCTATAATCAAATTCGTATCGAGTGTAAATTTTCGATATCAGTTACTGTTTAATTTCGACAAGTTTAGAATGGCAATTTTTATCTCCCTCTCTTCATCAACAAAACATTAACGTTAGTTAGCTTAGATATTTTAAAATACTGCTGAAATAGTAGAGATTAAATCAATGCACTATGAAGGAATACGCGATCAGATATGTTACACAGGACAGGTATACTCATGAAAACCAACAGTATACGTTCTTACGTACGAAAAAAAATACGTTTATAATTATTGGAGAGAATATATCCATTCCAAATTATGATTCACGATATGGTCTCAGATATTGAATTGTTAGGCAAGCAAAACTTACAAACAGCTTAAAGCAGGCAAAAGTATTGCAGATATAATCATTAAGAAAATTGTGGAGCACAATGCGCATAAACTTACATAAATTTTATCCTTCATGTAACGCTGTTTGACATTTTCAAGAAGAGTCGCCTCGTTTAAGTTTATTAACGCACCTTCATAATAACGTCAGTATACTTAGAACTTACAGTTATCGTCCGGAAAATGATCACGTGGTTCGGCAAGCAAAACCTGGTTTGTGGGGATCTCGAAAATCTGGGAAATGCAAAAATTAACAATGATATGTCTTTGAGTGGACAGACCAATGTGAAGATTTGTTTACTATGGCAGTGCGTTTTTGTTTAATATGACCAAAATGAATAGTACATTTTGGTCTTAAAAACATTATCCGACGATAAATAAAGTCGTGAATCCAGTTGTCCTTGTAGCACTTTCGGACAGATTGTATTAGTACGTCAAGGATTTATTTTGCCTCCAACATTACAGTTAAGTTTGGAAGTATCCGGTCTGTCAAAAATGTATACGGTTCGAGACAAAACTCTCACTACTTGTCTACCCTGCCACACATTAACCCTACGTGATAGAGTGCCCAGAAGGGGATAGCAGGCTTTATCCCCGGCAGCATTTATTTAAGGCTTATTATTATTGTACACAGAGAACGCTCTTATTATACTGAACCTGAAGACATATTTTACGGAGTAAAATTCATAGAAGACTAATGCAAAAATATGCATCAAAAATGTTTATAGATATATCAATTATCGTAATAGATAAGCTGAATCGACTTAACCAAGAACACGCCCATCTCAAATATAGGTCGTTCTTGACCTCAACAAAGTAGTAGTAGGTAGTAGGTATACCTAGGTATACCTACTACTTTATATATATTTAAATTCCCATATTTCATGATGTTGATCAAACCACCTAGGCACTATGCAGAAAATGCTGTTTGATTGCTTTTCTATTGCGTACTTGTTGAAAAATGTACAAAAAATCAATGCATCACTAGACGTCATGCATAATCATTTAAGAACTCTCAATATAGGAAAAATCTGAGATATATACTAAAGTCACGTATTGTCGGATAGCTTCGTATAGTTGAGCCTTATACAACATTTTTGATCCACCGTTTGACAAACGAAACAAGTATTTCGAAGAAAATAT